ATGTAAAATCTCTGGATTCACCATTGAGATCATAACCTTTGTCCATTACACGAATACATGAAATACACTAGATAAACAAAAAACACAAAAAACATTGTGAAAGTCAGATTTTATTTTTATTTATTCATTTGATCTTCCACATCATAGAATTTAATACACACATGAAATGCAACCATTTACTAGATATGTTTAAATCTAATAGATAATAGATTTTAATGCACTAAAGTAATATTATTTCATTCCAAAGTTCTAGTGAGATTGTCCTGTGACTCGAAACAACAAACCTAAAAGATGTCGCCATTGATTATTCCTTACAGGAAAGAAATTTTAATACAAATTTTCACTGGATTTCGTCATGCAAATTCAGTAAATAACTGAAACTATGCTAATGAAAACAATGCTGTTCTAAATCTACATCTTCATTATTGTTTTTAAACATGCCTTCTACGGATATAGTTCTACGTTCAAGTAAAAATATAACTGCTCACGTGCATCATTATCCACAACTTTCGCCTATTCCTTCAAGAAAATCATACGTTTGTTAAAATCGTAAAATGGAAACCAATTCAAGATCGTATGACTTGCCATATATATATAAACATTCGTTCATAGTTTTTCAAGTGGTATGAATCATTTGAATACGCACAAGTGTCTTTTACCACTGACGAAATCAACCACTAAAATCTGAATCATTGTTCTTGTTTAAACTAAAACTTGTAAGATTAAACGACAGCAAAAGTAAAAAGACTGAAAGATTTGATTGCACAGTTTCTATGTAACGATGATATGTCATCATACTCATTAATCAAGAACAAATATTTATTCAAAAGACTTTAGCATTCTGCTGTCTCCAACAAGACAGGGCAATGGTAAAAATATTTATTCTATTAAGACCTAATTGTAAGTATCGCATATTAAGATAGATTATTTTTTCCTATTCTATAATATTGATGAAAAATGATAACAAGATGTCAAAATCAAATTGATAAAACTTACACGAAGAAAAACGAACATTAAATATAAGCACTATATATATATCATGAAATTCTGATTCAGTAGAACAAGAAAGAACGACAACTGACAATGAATAAATTATATCATAGAATAAGATTCAAATTAGAAAATAAAAACAATCATGTATACATTATTCCGCAAGTGATTTCACTTAAATTTGATTTGATTGCATATTAATTGAGAAATATACTTGAAACAATTTGAAATCGAAAGAAATATACTGATTACTATAGATCCTCAGATTGATCCTGGACTCGATCTAAGTCCAAAAAACTTGCACACGATCGACTCTACTAATTACAATTCAATCAGACTAATTCTACTAAACAAGAGAAAAAATAAATAAATTTCTCAGTTTCGATTAATGATTGAATGTAACAATGAAAATTAATACAAACGATATCTTTTCGTAAAATTTTGTTCTTTATTCATAACAAAAAAAAACAAATTCTTTTTCATCTTTCCATTTATATGTTTTCACTTCATTGTGTGCATAAAATTAATATAACAATGTGATTGCAAATTCTTTTTTTCTCCTTCTGTTTTTCTTTTGCAAACATTCATTTGAAGATGTTCATTACGAACTTATCAACAACATACTGACTCACCGTAAACAAATTACGTCATTCATGAGGAAGTACATAGTTAAACAATTTTTATTTAATAAAAGTTTCGATGAATATTTTAGTGACAAAAAAAAAGCAAACAGCAAAACAAAATTAAGCATGAATAATAAATATTTATTGTTCAAAATGTTTATAAGTGTTTATGCTTGATAACGAACTGCTCGATCAGAACCACTAGCATGGCAGACTTTGAAAAAGATAATTTCACCAGTGAATATAAGAGCAGAAAAAATAATTCCACAAGCTATACCAGCAGTTGCTGCTTGACCAAGACCTGTTTCACGTGTTACCACATCTATAACAAATGAAAAAAAAGACAATACTAATGAAAAAATTTCCATAAGCGTCAAGCTGCTTCTCGAGTTTAGAATATATGTATTTTATAGGTTTCCATTAGCTATGAATATCTTGAAAAGAGTTCGGACTAATAGTTTTATTACTGAGATATAGTATGTTTGATCAGAATATCGTATTCCTTCATAGGAACGTAAGGGAAAGTAAGTTTTGAATTTTGACTTGAAACTTTACGTAGATATAGGCGTTTATGAGAATAGTTCATTGTAAAAGTATATTTTTCACAACGATCATGTAGAACGGAATAATCTGATATTTCTTATTTTAAAATAATGCAATTAAAAACTCTAAAACTTTCACAATAAGCTATTTTCGTTAAGGGCTATCTCTGTATAAAGTTTCAAGTCGAAATCAGAAACTCAGTTTTCTGGGTATTTTTTTTTAGAGGAACCACGGCATTCTGCTAAAAACTACAGTAACTTGATAGTAATTATCTATTCACCTAAATTCTTTCTAAAGTATTCATAACTGATTATAAACTACATGATACACAGAATTTCTGTTCAAAGGTGATTTAACACTTAAAAGCGTTTCCTTCTTAGCTGTTTATTAAAATAAATATACAAGAATATTCACTTGGTTGCTTTGAACTCGGTGTGGTTGTCGGTGCTTCTGTTACTATAGTTGATGCAGAAGACGCTGCCGTTGTGATGATTACTGTAGCTAATGTGGAAGATATTGTTGCTGTAGAGATAGTTGCTAATGTGGAAGATATCGTTGCTGTAGAGATAGTTGCTAATGTAGAAGATATCGTTGCTGTAGAGATAGTTGCTAATGTGGAAGATGCTGCCGTTGTAGAGATAGTTGTTGCTGATGTAAAAGATGCTTCCATTGTAAAGCCTGTTGTTGCTGATGCAAAAGATGCTTCCAATGTAGAGCTTGTTGTTGCTGATGTAGAAGATGCTTCCGTTGTAGAGGTTGTTGTTGTTGTGAAAGATACTTCTGTTGTAGAAATTGTTGTTGTTGTTGTGGAAGAAACTTCTGTTGTAGAGATTGTTGTGGAAGATGTTGTTGTTGTGGAGGTTATCGTAGTAGTGGTAAATGTCGGTTCAGAGTTTGACATTGACGAAAGTTCTACTGAGACAAACGCTGCTGTAGTGAGACCTGCTGAAGATATGTCCGTAGATGGATATGTTAATATTGTTGTTTCAACTTGTAAAATAGTTTGTGATACACATATGCTAATATTGTGATTACAAAGAAAATTTGTACAAACACATTCTTGAACAGGTCTTGCAGCAGCATCAGTATATTCAACATAGGCGTTAGTTGCTGTTTCATTCAGCAAAATACTCGAACCCATATTTATTATTGATTGTGCTTCGTAAACTTTTTCAGAAAGATAAGTTTCGTAATTTTCATAGATAAGTGATCGTCGTGTTGTTGTTATACCATTTACTGTAATAGCGCACAATAGACTTGTACTTCTGATGTAGTCTTGACAAGCCGACATATTTATAAATGCATGTTCTATACATGTGTTAGATGAATTCAATGTATCATTGCATTGAATGATGGATGTTAGATTAGGCATAAAATCAATTGACGACGACATATTCGTAGAATTCGTCACCGAGTCTTGACAAGTACTAAAGTTTTCGTTACAATTGTCACTTGCACAAACACAGATCTGCATAACAGTGTACGATTCGAATGGGAGTGGCGCGTCACACGACCATACACCGGTACCTGCATCTGATGTAGTTGAACTTGAACTACATCTCTTTTCAATGAATCGACGGAATGTATTTATATATCGAAGACCATCGAATAGAGGGAACGACATTTCTAGAGCTTCAATCATACCATTATAAGTACGAATAGCGCATAACTGGAAATTCCGTGGTGATGTCTGATTATTATTTAATCTACATGTGAGGTTGCGTGGAACAATAATATTTGACACATTTTGAAGAAAAAAAGCATTGACTGTATGTGGAATGATAATTAACACATAAATACTAACAACGAAATAAAGTCGAATCATGTTGATGCAAACGAAACTACTCTTGTTTGCTGATCGTACGATTATCTATTTTTTTCGGTGTTTAATTATTTAAATTTTCAGAAATACTTGCAGACAAACGACCAAGAAAGAATTCGTATTTACGTTTTTTTTTTTTGTATGAAATATACACATTATGAAAACGAACAAAAACAAAATATGTTCGATCACTTTTTCCTTTTATTACTAATTGAAAGACATGCAAAGAAAAACAAGCAAAAGAATATGAGATTTATGAATTTACGAGAAAAAAAAAAACTTGAAGTGCTGTTTTTTTGTCATATGTAAAGAGAAAAATACAAAACAATATGCTTCTAGAAAAGAACAGAAAAAATCAAACGAAAATGTCTTATATGGCGTACATGATTTTTTCTAGTTTCGTTAGAATATCATAGATTAACCAATGACTATATTGTATCCTACACCAGGATTCATACGAACTAATCATTTTAAAAACAAGATGTAAATATATGAAATAAGAATATATAAAATATAATTAATATATTCTATCAATGTGTCAATATAAACATTCAAAGAATGAGTAATATTATGATTCAATGATGAAATGAATATTATTTTCATGATTAAGATGTTTTTTGTCTCTACATGTTTATTTAAGTAATGGCGCCGATAGAACACCATTAAACGGTGTGAAACAGACAGTGTAAATATATGTTTGTTGACATGACTCTTAGAAATTATAGCGGTAACAGCATATATTTCAAAAATGTTGATGCTGAATGAGTATGTTTTTCTTTGATACATCAATCGATTAGATCAAAGGATTTGTTGCTTTATTCATACATTCGATGAAGCATCGTTGCATAACAAATTTCAATCATCTTATATTCAATTTTTATCCAAACAAGAAACAAAAAATATAAAATTTAAAATAAATCAAACTACTACATTCTATATCTGTCAAAAAACAAATCAACAAATCAATTTCTGAAAAAGAAATAGAGAATAATTAACAAATTATTTTTTTTTTTTGCACAATATTAATGAATACAATCATTTCCTACAATTCCTTCTTCATCAATAACATCAAAATAAACTCGAGGAAGTGCACAACCAAGTGCAGATATAAGTGATTCTTGTTTTAATTGACATATTCTTAGTGTATTTTGTCCAAGAATTGATTCTAAAAATATAGTTAAATCTTGTGTAGCTTGTTTTTCTAATTGAAAAAATTCTCCCGTTAATATACAATGATTAATTGATGGATAAAGTTTAAGTAATAATTTGATTGTTAATGCCATATTCATTGTAAACATTGATAATAATGAATGATGCATTGCTAAACATGTTTGTAATGATGAAAATTCAATAAAACTATCATCAGTTTGTGTATGTACATCATATGTTGTTATATTATTATCATAAGATGATGTTCGTCTATTTGACCAACCACGATAAATATAATGTGAAGTTGTTGATAGAGTATAATCAGAAGGAAAATATCGTTGTGGTATACGAGTAAAACTTGTTAAAGGTACATGACATGAAAGATTTGTTGATGAACGATGACAATTTTTACATAAATTAAGACGTGTAAAATCTAATGAAACAAGTGATGGACGTCGAATTGTCGATGATGATGATGATGATGATGGTCTAGAACAAACAATGAATAAAGTTGTTGAATGAATATTAGACTATCAATCAAATGAAATGATATAGTGATTTATAAGAGTATGAGAACTCTTTTGTTTGTTTTTAAATCGAATAGAAATGAAGAGAAAAATGAATCTTTTATAATAGCTTTAAAGCCTAGCCTCTTTCATTTGATCAAAAAATATATAACATGGTTTATAGAAAAATCCCAAATGATGCCAAAAAAAATAAATCCTGGAAGATGTTGATAAGCTACAGTATGTTGTAAAATATATACATATCAATCCTTTGTATATTTATTATCATTTATTAGATAGAATAAACGAAAGTATTCCAATTGTTTTTGATGTTGTGGGTACAGTTAGATTTCAACGAGATTAAGAAAATTGTCTGAATCGTCATGTTCATCACTCTTCCCTTCTAAGATATGATCACAACTATATTAAAGCTACTATCTCTCTTCTTAAATACGAATTATTTCTACTCTTCATTCGAAATAGAATGTATTTATTTATCAAGTACAAGAATCGCAGTTCACTTAAGTGAACTATTTGGAAACCAAACAGTATAACTGCGTACTAGGCCATGATGAGTAGTGATGACTGCATTTTCACTTGTTCTTTTTTTCTATAGATTTAGATACCAGCATTTTTGCCAGAATTCTCAAAGAATTCATCATAAATTCTGAAGAAATCTTTTGAAATAGAAATTTATTTTTATGAGTTTAAAAAGTACACATTTTACATATCATGGCTTCTCTATTTATCTAAACAGCTGTGTTCTTAAGCTATGATGTCTCTAATCGAGTTTAGTAACCGAAACTGCAGATTTTAGCCAAAACAAATCTGTTCTAATTCTATTAGTAGTATAAAATGCTTATTAAGAAACGAAACTCTCAGAATCAAAAAAGAGCTAGTTATCAATTATTTTGATCCGTTTTTTACAAATCAATGAATTATAAGCTGTCATACATCCAATCTCTAGAATTCTAAAGATTTCAAATATTAATTATATTCAAAGAAAATTGATCATAAGCATCGATAAATCTGAATTTCAAATCTCTACTAGACTAAATTATGAAGTTTTGAAGATTCTATTATCAAGTACCTGTTCTCGAAGAATTCTTTCATTTTTCTTGATAAAATTATGATTATGTCTCAGAAGGAAAGTGCTACAAAAATGAGAATTTTAGAATCTTCTTAAAGTTCACTAAAAACCTTCTTATGATGATCAAAAACTGAAATCACAAAGTCAGAAATATCTAGCCACTCTACCTTGTCAATAGCACATATAATATTTTCGAAAATGTTTTTTTTTACTACTACCCATATCAAAATATGATGTGCTCCACTGATCTTCATAAATAACTGTTGATAGAAACATCATAGACATAGATACATGTGACTATCGAGGTATATCGAAATTGACCGATGAGGTATACTTTTGATGGAGATTTTTGACTTCTCCATTTCGGAAATACTGAAGTAACAGAATCAGATCATTTTGAACGAAAAAACAAATATCCCCATTCCACTCGGAATGATGAATAAACGTTGGCTAACAAATCTTCTGAGGGATCATAGATCAATTGGCTGAATTCAGAGGTCTCCGAAGAGGTCTTATCACTCTTGAATACAAAGAGCTCAGAATGTCGGCATTGTGTAGATCGAAAGAGAAGAATCTTTTCGATTTTTTAACTCTATTAGAACTCTTAATTCAAAGGAAAATAGCTTCAGAATACCGTTTTCGAAAATCTCCATCAAGAATACATCTCATCAATAAATTTCGCACTAATCAAACTTTGATGACTACAGATCTTCTCATTTCAGGGATGAAAATCGCAGATTTCTATGACGTGTCTACCAAAAAACATTGAAACACATTATATTATAAAATGAATAGTAACATGCACTATATCATTGATCGTCTTCGAAAAGTAAAGTGTTTTTCTTCGATATTTATATAAAAAAAAAACGGAAACTGATATTTACATTTGTTCATCATTTATTGGATCATATCCCGGTTGTAAAAGTTTCATTAAATTCGAATAAGTTTTATAACATAAATTATTCGATGTTAATACAGAATATTTACTTGATGAATGAACAATATAAAAAAATGTACTTCCAGCTTCAGCATGAAGTAATATATATGGATAAAGTTGATAAGTATCATTAATATGTTTATTATCTAATATATTAATTAATTCATTATGTTTATCAATATTAATCATTTGATTATTTCCAAGAAAAAAATTTAAACCAATCATATATGATTCAGCACGATATTGTATAATATCAAAATTTAAATTAACTTTATTTAAACGTGATGAAATTTTTATTTCATATTCATATTTTTGTTCACCTGTTAATGCTATATTAAGTACAAATGGAGATATTATAGAAGAATTATAATTTATAAATGTTTGTAAATATAATAGTACATGATCAAATTCATTATGTGTTAATGTAAATAAACGAAAATTAGCTTCTTGTTCAATTATTGTTTGTAATTTAACATTTGATATAGACCAATTTTTATGTTCATTATTTATAATTAATGATATCAAATAACGTTGAAAAATAACAGTAGAATAATCAACATTTTGTGGATAAAGTTCTATTAAAACAAGTGATACACCTGTCATTGTTATATTAATTCCAATTGCAGGTACATCATATGATGATGATGAATAATCTTCTTGTTTATTATTGAAAATAACATTTGATTCCTCAATTGGAGAAGGTGCAGCTGATGAAAAAGAAAAAATCGAATTTTTCTTTTTCAAAAGATTCAAAATGAAAAGTTTTGTTGATTAGAATTATATTTCAAGTTAAAAAAAAACAAACTCTTAGCATAATTCTTACAGTATTAAAATGTGAAATACACTATAATTTCTCTTGCTAATCATAGAGATTCAAAGTCGAAGTTGAAAATATGACTTTTTTTCATTTCTCCTTGAGAGAAAATGATTGTGAGAGATCGGATGTTTTTAAACAATTTTCACTTAAAACTTTGCTCTCATAAAAAACCTCAATTTAGAGTAGTTCGTATAGAAAGTTTCTGAACTTTCAGAAGTATAAATGCTTTTCGAGAACGTAGGAGAAGTAAAATACTATAAGCATCGTCAAGATAACGTGCCTTTTTTTTTTCAATGTTTTTATGTAGCACTTGACAAAAGAAACTTCAAAGCTATAGTAACAATGGAAAACTAAAGATCGAGAAAGATTTGATTTTAACATCCAAAAAGGAGAATATGAAGATCTTTATGACAAATTGCAAATGTCATGTCCTACATCTACAAAACAATAGAGTCCGATTATTTTTAGCGAATTCAAAAGGGGATTTCCAGTGTAAACAAAAAAACCTATTGGCTCACTATCAAAAATAATTTTTCAAGTCTTTCAAAAGTAAAAATTTTCTAGCTTGTCAAAAGGAAACAAATATGTCGTTGAATATTTTCTGATCAGTTGTTATATTTTTGATCAACTTAATTGTTTCGACTTACTTATTGGAGTTAATTTTGATGTTGATTCTTCAATAACAATCACTTGAGTTTCATTTTCTGGTACTGTTGATGTAGATGAATTAGATCTTGATGAAAAAGTTGATGAACTACTTGATGATGAATTTCCATCATCCATTGATAAAAGACTTGAATAATTTGATGGTGATTTATGTTCATTAAGTGGTTTTGATGAATCAATATTTTCCACATGTTCTCGTTTTAAATTATTAGTTTGTTTTGTTAAAAGTTCAACAAGTTTTGTTACAGTTTCAAATGTTTTTATTGGTCGTGTTATTGTTATATTTGATTTACTTGTTGATGGACCACGTTTTGGTTTATAAAAATAATCATTATGTTCAGTATGTAATCGTTCAAATGAACTTGGTGATAAAGAACGATAAGAAAAATTTCCATGATAACGATTATTTTCAACATATTCATCTTCATTTGTAGTTGCCATATGTATATAAACTATTTATTTGTTTTCTACAAAAATATATCAAAATTTTTGAATCAATAAAAAAACAAATATTAATGTTATATGATTAACATAATACAATAAAAAAATTTCAAATAAAAGGCGAAATATACAAGCATGAATAAAAATAAAAAAGAAACCTGAAAAACTGACTCATTTGTATGCCTTGTATTTTTCGAATCTTTCTGCTTAGTGTAGAACAAAAAAAAAAAGAATGAACATTGAATAGTTTATTGTTTCATCAGCTGTGTCTTTATGTACATTATGATTATTACTTGAACATTGTGTTATTATTTTACAATATTCTATTCAAAAAAAACCTATTATTATACAAAAAAGAAAACAGCTGTTATTTTATCATTGATGTATTCACTTACTTATTGTAATTTATTATGCATGATAAGAAGAAGAAAAAAAAGCTACGATCATATTAAGATAACGAGAAATTAACTAATGAATTTTCTAATTAAGAAAAAAAAAATTAATCAATATCTATATGATAATTTACTATACTTTTCTATGCTAACAAAAAATCTGAAACGATAATTTACTTGTCTTTTTCTTAACATCAAATATTCTATACATACCAGAACAACAAAAAAAAAATATGTAAAGTAATAATAACAACTGGAGAGATAACCTTTAAGACAAGAAAAGCAAAAAAAAAAAAAAAAGGAAAGATTAATTTAGTCAATGGAAAATAATTATTAATATGATGACATTGAACGAATATCATTATCATCATTCATATTTAAATCCATGAGAAAAAAAAAAGAACAAATTTAAATAGTAGTTCCTGAAACATTAAAAGCTTTTCTTTATCAAATAGATAGTTAATAATATAGATCAGTAAAAACATATAGGTTATTATTAATGTATATTCCTTTTTTTCTACTACAAACAGAGAATAAATACATCTGTTAATATATGATATATTAAAATTACCATATGCTCGTTTTTCATCTATTATCAGTATGTCAAATAGAAGTGTAAATATAGTTAAATAGCTACTAAATCGTATTGTATATCTCATTAAATTATGTAAATTATCAAAGAATGAACAATAAATAAACTGAAGACAAAATTTCTTTTTTTTTTCTCTTACGTAGAATAAGAATAAGAAGATAATTATATAAAAGAAAAAATGCATATGTAAGAAGACATTCTAGTGAATATTACATATACTTATTATATGTGAGAAAAAAAGCGTAAATAATAAAGACATTATTTTATGTCAAGTACATTTACTAGGACACATCGTTTGTATATGAGGATTATACGGATGTTGTTTTTTCAACGATGATAAATCATAATTATACAACACCAGCTGTCACTTAGAATATTCTATGTTGAGATCTGAAATACGTGATTGAAGAGGTACAAAAAAAGGCAAAGAATGTATAGACAAGAAAAAAAAAAAAAAGAAAAGAAATAGCCTTGTGCAAGAGTCCATGACCTTCACACTCAGGTATATGCTTTCTATTACAGCAATGATGCATGTTCAACAAGCTTGTTCGTCATATTGCACATAGAATATACACAGTTGAAGTAAAATTAGCATAATACACTCAATACAAAAAAAAAATGTAAGATGCGAATGAGCACATTTAAGTGGGTCGTTGCAGAAGCACTACATTGCTACAATTATTATTATATATCTTGAATAGTAATAATAAAAATAGAACGAATAGAAATTCTTTTATTTCTCTTCGTTAATTCAAGTATTTCAATCAACATTTGTATTGTATCATTATAATTGATTGCATCATATGTATTGTATCGTTCTACTTGAAATTTTAATTTTCTTAATCAAGCTCTTTCTTTTTTTTTTGTCTTTAATAAGTATTTTTTACTTTTTTCATTGAAATAATTCTTATTAATCTTTTTATACTATATAAATTATTTAAAATGTTGAATTATTATTATTTTTTTTTAATCATTTATCATTCAAAAAGATTTTAAAAGTTTTAGATAAAATTTTGTTGTTCAAACTATTGAGCTCAGGTGTTCTAGTTATTATATTAAAAGTTATACTGTTTTCTTTTTTGAAAGTTCTGTTCTATTTGCTATTCACATTTTTATAGCTTACCTGTCAGGCATGTGCCTATTTCAATGTTTAATCTTCTTTATATTTACTTCAGTCATATGTTTTAATACTAGTAAAGCACATAGTAGCTATTTGATTGCACATATAATCATTGAATAGAAATTGTTTTTTTTTTTAAGATTTTATAGTTTCTGCATGAAATTTTGACAGCAAGAATTTTTGTAAGATGTCAGAATTTGATAAATTAATATCAAATAATATTTTTATTAAAATTGATGAATGTAAAAGAAAAAAAATTATATTTAGAAAAATGATAGATTTGTCAAGTGATTTGATAATAAAACTCTAAGAAAGTTTATTAAATTTTGAAACAAAAAATTGTTTATGAAAAGTTTGATATTATAAATAAAGTTAATTTTATATTTCAATATGAATTTAAATATATATCTGATTATAATTAATAATATTAATTTGAAACGATTCAAAAATATTTATGAGACATTTTTTTAAATAAAGTTCTTCAGTATAATAATTATATAGAAAAGAAAAAACAAAGCTACACTACTAATAGCATATGAGTAAGTCATACGTTTTCTTTCTTTTTTCTTTTTTCTTTCTTGTTACCTAGTACGTGTGGAAACGTTGGTTGTTAGCGCCGTACCATGTTACTAAGCATTTGTCCTTTTTGTAAGAAACACAACCTTTGACATACGTAATTCATGGATGTAATAATCCTTCTATCTTTATAAGTTCTTTAAAGTCTATATAAATCTTTAAGAAAACATCATTTGCGGAAATAGAGGTATAACTATAGACTATTTAAATGTTATGGCGAAAACAAATGATAAACGTAGCATAAAACAACTGATGGCAGCAGCTAATGATTTATCTAATTTTGTAATGGCTACTACAACACCTTCATTAATATCAAATTCAATTCTTAATTCATCAACTGTTAATTCAAATTTTTCTAAATGGCCAAATGATATTTCATTAATTGATAAATATAATTGGTTATTACATATAATGTATGGTCGTGGTGAATATGATCGTATTCAACAATTTATACGTATTCAATTACATCGAAATACTTATATGACATATATTCAAGCTCTTGTTTATCGACAAGAAGGACGTATTATTGAAGCACTTGAATATTTTCAAAAATGTGTTCTTGAAAATCCATCTTTAACAAATATAAAACAAGTAGCTAAATCATTAGCATTACTTGGACGTTATCGATTAGCTATTGATGCTTATAAAGAAGCATTAACATATACAATAAATGATTGGGAAATATTTCATAATTTAGGTTTATGTTATATGCATATAAATGAATTACAACAAGCCAAACAATATTTTTTACAAGCAATACAAATTACAGAAATCCAAGAAGCATCATTTTTAGCACTTGGTAAAATTTATTTATTAGAAGGTGAACGTGAAGAAGCTGAAACTATTTATGAACAAGGTACAAGACGTAATCCAGAATCAGTTGAACTTTTTACTCAAATTGGTCTTATAGCATTTGAAGTAAAATTTGAATATTTGTTCTTCTTGTTTGTTTTTTTTTTTGGATTATCAAATATTTCAATTATTATATATTCTTTTTTTTTTTAGAGAGCAAATTATACAAAAGCATTCGAATGTTTTGGTATAGCATTAACATTTAGTCCAACTCATATACCTGCTATAATGGCTGCTTGTCAAGTTATACAAAAACATGGTGATGCTGATGTTGCATTATCAAAATATCGTATTATATATGGACGAAAACCTGAATGTGCACAAGTATGGAATAATATTGGCATGTGTTTTTTTTCAAAAAAAAAACTTGTTGCTGCTGTTAGTTGTTTAAAACGTGCAAATTATTTAGCACCATTTGAATTATATATATTATATAATTTGGCACTTGTACATTTATATTTACAACAAAATGCATCAGCTGCAATATTTCTTCAATCAGCTATTAGAATTAATAAAAAACATGCACCAAGTTATGCTTTATTAGGTAAATATATATATATTTTATAGATTAAATTATTTTATCATCAATTATATATAATTTTAGGTGTAGCTTTATCGAAATTAAATGATTTTGATAATGCTTTAAAAGCTTTTATATATTCTCTTAAACTTGATCCAACTGATCCAATGACATTACTTAATTTAGCTATTCTTCAAATGAATACAGGTGTTTCACAATCAATAATTGATAAAACTCTTAAAGAATTTCATCAATATTATTCGGAACGAACTGCTTTAACTACTCATCATCAAATTGATACATCTATGTTAGATTTTGCTGCAAAATTAAAAGTTACACAATCAACAACGATTTCAAATAATGAAGAAGTTGCTCCATCATTATCAAGAACAGCAATATATTCACCTAGAGAACCATTTGATAAAGACTCAATGATTTCATCACGATAAACTTCTTAAAAATGATCTATGATTAACAATTAATCTACGATGACAGATAATATAAAACATAACATTAATCAATAGTTTCATCAGATCTTAAATTTGTGCAAAATATGACTAGTCAACAATTACTTTCTAATTTAATCGATGTACTCTCTTCAAATTCTTTTCTTAATAAAGTAAAAATTATAATTCTCATTTACAAGCGAACTCTTTATCATTTTGGATGACGAGATAAGGTTGTTTCTAATGCAATATTCTTTAGAAAATGCATCATTGTTTTGATATTGATGGTTGAATACAAAATCTCTGTTCTTCATCCGCAAAAGAGTGTATCTATCTATCGAATAAAAAACAAATGCAGTTCACTAGAACAAACATTGTCAAGAAAAACTTATTAACAATTCATGTAGAGTTTTACCAAATGGCTTTTTAGCTATATATTGGGCTATGACCCATATCGCACGACGAATTTCAATTTCAGTTATAAAACAGAATATATTTTCTC